AGCTTGCCTGGGGAGTGGGAGAAGGTCATTTGGGTGTCGTCGGACGCTGCGCCCTCGATGGTGGGAGCCATCGACTGGACCAACAGACAGGTGACACGCCTCCCCACCGGGACTTTGAAAGCATGGGCCTCTCGGGCCCTGTCGGACTTTGAGATTGCGGACCAGGAGACCGACCTCGTGATCCACTTGGGGGAGATGCTGTCCTTTGTCGCCTTCGCCTGTGCTGCTGGGGACCTATGGAAGGGAGCGGTAGTGGCTTATGGTGGTGACAATACCATCGTGAAGAACTGGCTGCAATCCCGGAAGAGCAACACCCGAGGAGGAAGGATCCTCATCAGGGCCCTTAACCTGGCGGAGATGAAGACTTCATCACCAGGTGCACCCAGGAGGAATTCGATGACTTCGTGGGGGAGAAAGGCCTTCGCTTTGGAGGATTCGGCCCGGTATGGGGTGTGCTTTCTATGGGGCCCGGAGAGAGAGGACGATCGTGCACTCCAACTCCAGCTTCGTGAGAGAAGGGTGTCAAAACAAATCCAGAGGGAGCTGGAGATCCCTTGGAAAGCCTTCGCTGTGAAGGAGGGGGCCCCCCCAGGGAGGTGGTTGAGAGACTTCGAAGCCTTGGGAGGTGCCTTGGGAGCAGCCGAGGACGTGGGAGACAGGCCGGTGCTTCTATGCGCTACGCTGGGGGTGGACTATAAAGGGAAGCACATGGAGCAGTACCTCCACAGCCTTCAACGAGAAGGAGCTCGACTGGGCCTGGTTGAAGGACCTGGTAGAGTCAACTGGGAGCGGGGTCAACGACATTGCGAGAGCCGAGGATGGGGCTATGGGATCGTCGACTTCATCACCACGGAGAACGGGGAGGCGCTGACAAGGAGAAGGCGATGCCTGGTGGTAAACCCACATGGTGCTCTACCGGAAGCCTGGGAAGAGTTCCTGGTCAGGGCCATGGGACCGGCGCCGATGAGCTCGCTTTTGAAGCCAAAGGAGCACCACGAACTGTGTTGGACCAAGCCCTTACGCCTGGAGCTGGAGAGCGGCATCCCGAGAGATCGTATGCTGCCTCAACCAGCGGGTCATGTCTGGTGGGGTGAAGAACGAGAGGTGATCCACGGGATAGGAGGCCCCGGCCGTTGGCCTTTGCTTTCAGAGGACGGTGGCAGTCTACAGGGCTACTACGTCTATGATCGTCGAGGACCTGGAGGCCACGCGCGTCGTCTGATCCTGAAGAACTGTGGGTTCTACAAGGACGACAGCTTCGAGATCTGCCGGCCAACGTCTCTGCTGAAGTTGCAGCGGTCGAAGGGGTTCGAGCCACAGGGATTCAAACAGCGGCGAACCTTGTGACCATGGGGGGCCAGATCCTCTGTGAGTTGATCGCCCGGGAAGCCGGGGAACTGAACCCAGGTAAGGCCGGGATGATGCCGGATGCCACCGGGGCAGAAGCCATGGCCCAGATCTTGCTGTGGCTCCGACGATGGAAGAGAGGAGAGTTGGGGCGAAACCCGCCTTCCTATGAGGCCGACTCCAACAGGGCTGGTGGCGGCACAGGGCCCCCTCAGAGAAGTCTGTGGAGGTGGTCGGAAGCGTGGTGGTGGGCCCAATGCATGGACGAGGACGAGGACGAGGCCTACATCCCGGAGTTCGCCAACGTGATCGAGGGTTTCTACGCTGGTGGACGGACCAAAGCCAAGACCGACCCGATCAAGATTGCTGAGAAGGTCGGAGCCCAAGCTGTCCACCTCACCAAGAGCCTCGCCCCGTTTTGTGGTGACGTTCGTGAACGGGTGGACGAATGGCTGGAGGAAAACATGACGGGGGACAAGAGCGCCGCTACGGAGAAGGCCTATGGTGGGGCATGGACGAAGTGGTGTGCCTGGGCCAAACGACAAGGCTGGCCCGATGAGTTCCTCAACCGCAATGTGGACCCGATTGAGAACGAGAACCGGGTGCTGGCCTATGTGGGATACCTGGGCTGGTTGGGAGCTTCACCCAACACCATCCGGCAGCACATCTTTGCGATGAAGATGGTGCACAAGAGGAGTGGTAGGGGCATGCACCGCGTGTGGATCCTCGTCAACGCCTTGGGCCGGAGGTCTACTACCAGGAAGCCACGGCGCTTGGGAGTCACGCCCGAGATGTTGGTGTGGTTGGGCAAGAACCTGGTGGACCCGCTGGTGAATGACCGGCATTCGGTCCCTTACGCGGAGGCCGTGATGGTTCTGGCAGCCCTGGAGTTGGCGTGGTTCTTCATGCTGAGGGCCAAGGAGTTCGGCGAGTCGAATGGAGTGGACGAGAGCATGATCACGAGGGGCTGCGACATCCGCCTTTCTCATCAAGGAGTGGCAAAGCCGGCGGGGGAGGCGACGGAGATTTCCCTCTTCTTCCGGAAGACCAAGAACGACCAGCTGGCCTTCGGGGACACCAAGACCTTGCAGGCCACGGGAAGGAAGCACCTTTGCCCAGTCGAAGCACTGGACCGTATGAGGCAGGTCTGGACGATGCGGTTTCAACCAGGCCATGCCGAGAGCACCAAGCCGCCGTTCAGGTGGAGCAATGGCCAGGTGATCAAGAGGATCGAGATCCAGCACTTCCTCCAGGAGGCAGCGGTTGGAGTGGGCTTGCCGCCCGGGAGGTTCATGTCCCACTCCTTGAGGATTGGGGGGGCATCGGCCTTGTTCCAGTCGACGGCCGACATCGAGTTGGTGAAACGAGCAGGAAGGTGGTCCTCTTCAGCTGTGCAGCGCTACCTCTTCGACGGCGGGTCGGTCAGCGCAGTCTCCAAGAAGATGGCCGCGGTTGGAGATCTGACCACCTTTAGATGAGGAGGTGGGCCGGGTGAGGCATCAAAATGATGCCACAAGGGCCTGGACTTCAAA